ATCTTCACATTGGTAGCGGAGCCCGGTCCGTCACTAGTGTGGGTGTATTCTAGTGTAAACGGGGTGATTCAGTGTCCTGCGGAAGGGATCCTGAATAGCTGTGCAAGAAACCACTGTAACGCTGTGAGACAGCCATGGGAACTGAAGCAGATGGACAGCCGGCAGGCGGCATGGGCCACCTGCCCTGGCAGCAGGTTCCTCGATTCACGCCGGGGGTGACAAACGTGGATGAATACAGTCAGCGCCTTAAGTTCTTGAAGGAGCTCTGGCCTGCGGAACACCTGCAGCACTTGGCGCCAAGAGCGGCGCTGATGGTTGATGGGGCAGCCTTTCATAAGATCAGCAGGATTGCGCCTGANNNNAAGCTGCGGTCGGCCGATGGAGTCAAACTGTTAGTGGAGACACTGGGCGGCTCCTGGGGCAAGACAGCCGTGGAAGAGAAGTACCATTACTTCGAACAGGCAATGTTCCAAGTGGTCCAGAAAGCTGACGAAAGCAATGATTCCTACATCTCTCGGCATGATGCGGCATTCGAGGAGCTTCTGTCGAGGAAGGTGACTCTTGAAGAGGTCCGTGCCTACATCTTGCTTCGGCACTCGCAGCTGAATCCAGAGGACAAGAAGAAGGTGGTTGTGGAAGCCAAAGGGGATCTCAAATACCTCGACACCGTGAAGTCAGTTCGGCTGTTGGGATCCAAGTTCTTCACAGAGTTCCAGCAGAGGAACAGCAACCACAAAGGGACCGAGCGCACCAAGGTCTATGATGTGAATGTGGCCTTTGAAGACGAGCACAGCGAAGAAGTCTACATGACGGAGGAGGATGACCACGACGAGGAGATCCTTATGATGTTCCTCGACCAGTCCGACGAGGACGCGATTTACATCACGGAGTTCGAAGACAACATAGTAGAAGCTGTGCAAGAGTCGGCATTGGCCCCGGTGTTCACGTCATATCTTGAAGCCAGACAACGCCTACGCGACAAAGCAAAGGCCCGTGGATTTTTCAGACCCAAAGGAAAGGGGTCAAAGGGCCCGG